AATGAGATTACTTTTCCATTTGCAGTATAAGTTTTCCTTTAAAAAGAAACCTTTATTTAAATTTTTTTATGTTTAAGAAAAACATCAAGAAGTTATACAAATGACTGACACTGGCCAGCCCTACACGACCTCACCTTCCCTGGCCCCAATATCAAGCACAGACTTTGAGGTTTCAGCTGTAGTTTTCCATGGCTTCTGAGCATATACAGCACTGTGTACGATGGTGCTTGTCAGTAACCCCCATCACCCTGAATGACAACCTGTAGTTCCTACACACAAGGCAGGTATCTAGGCTACCTTGGAAATAGCTCCACACGCCCACTATGAATTATGCTTATTCGGGCCACTGAAGGCTGGGAAACCTCAGAGTTATCCAGAACCGATGCTTTACAATGCGAATAGAAAGCAAATGAGGCTGAGCCAGAAGCATCCGCACAGCCAGCACCTTTTCCACATGCAAGCGGCACTCAGAACCACACAGGCGGCGGTGGGGGGCCGGGGGGGTGGGTGGACTGGGCCCCAGAGGGACACCCAGTGGCTAATTGGGCAACTGGGTCCCTGAGTCCTGATCCTCTCAGTAACAGCCGAGTTAATAATCAGTGAGAATTCGCCGATGAGTCACCCAACAATTTCCATTTGTCGCTTACCATAAGGCCAGCATTACGCTTAGTGCTTAGGAAATCTGTAAAGAATAATCATGGTTCCTGATTTCAAGGGGCTTTCACCCAAGTGGAAGAATAAAAGTTAACTAACAAAGTGAGTAAGAGAAATGTGCTAGAAAAGTAAGAAGGAATAAGAGAAAGAACAGGAGGAGGAGGAGGAAAGGCCTGTGGAAGAACTGGCGGGGGAGGGGAGAGGTCACTTCCAGCTACAGCTCTCCAGGAAGGTCTGAGCTGAGTCTGAAAGAGGGCACAATTTACACAGGTGGAGGCAGACTGGAGGGTGAACTGCATCTGGGCTTGCTACAGGCTTGCAGCTGGAGTCTGGACCTACCTTAAAAGCCCCCAAACTAGGGGCATAAGAGTCCAAGAGAGCAGATACCTTAGTAAGTCATGCATTTTAAGTGTCTTAAGCAACCGAGCTTTCCTTGTACTCTCGGGAAAAATAACCCTTAAATCCTACTCATATATTGATATTTTTAGTCAGTGAAAATAACCACCTTTGGCTAAAAGTGACCCTGAGATTCAAGAACAGAAAAACATCTCCTGGTTTGCTATACAGTTCTTGTTTTGTCTTGTTTGTTTATTGAGATGGAGTCTCGCTCTGTTGCCCAGATTGGAGTACAGAGGCATGATTTCACCTCACTGCAACCTCCACTTCCCTGGTTCAAGCAATTCTCCTGCGTCAGCCTCCTGAGTAGCTGGGATTACAGGCATGCGCCACCACACCTGGCTAATTTTTTTTGTATTTTTAGTAGAGAGGGGTTTCGCTATGTTGGCCAGGGTGGTCTCGAACTCCTGACCTCAAGAGATCTGCCCGCCTCGGCCTCCCAAAGTGCTGGGATTATAGGTGTGAGCCACTGCACCTGGCTCTGCTGTATGTATTTGTTAGCTAAAACCACCACACAGACTCACACACAAGAACCTCATAACTAAACTACTGAGAGCAAATCCCGCTCAGCAGTCAGTGACACGTTCTATCAAGATGTGTCAGCACGCAACAGTCGCCAAGTGGGATCCTCCTGAGTCTGCCAGGGCAGGCAGAGGAGTCCCAGAGCCAGGGCGGGCACTGCTTTGCAAAGTTCTGTTGGTAGCAATTCATGCAGAGGTGCCAGCATGAGAGCACAGAGAATGTGCATGGCATTATCATATTTTGAATCAAAATAAAATGTGTCCATCAAATGTCTCCCTCAGAAGCAAACACACTGATGCTAATGTACAATCCGATATTTCCTCAGAATCAATAATATCTCTGCTTCTAGGTCTTTGTCACTGTAAATCTTGACAATGTTTTGTCAAATGATCTTCAAAAGGCCACAGCCAAGACTGACCGCGGCCCGATGATTTGGAGGGACATGCCTCGGGCTGACCACTAGGTCTCATGGACTGGCGACGCCTGTGCCCACAGCAACTTAGTGACGAGAAACTGACTCGAGTTGATGAGATGGACACCTCCAGGGACTTATAAGAGCAGGAACGTAGGCGCACGGGGGGGAGTTCTGCTGAGGAGTCAAAAACACTGTATTCTCTGAGGACAGGGAAGATGGGAAGTGGGGGCCTTTGCTCTCCCTCAGGAGGCAGCACCTTATGATGCCACGGGCCCAAGAGCAGCCTTGGAGCGAGGAGGAAACCCACCACAGCTCACGTGCCACAGGAACATGACCTGGGGCAGCCACAGCAAAGCAGGTGACACGGCGACCTCCCTCCTAAAACCTCAGGTGAGGAAGCTTGGGGGTCCACGTGGTGGCAATGAAGCCTCCAGGGGTAGCGGGAAGGGAAGGGCTGGCTCTCCATGCTGCCCCACAGCCCAGTGCCCTCCAGACCCAAGACAAGCTCCCCTGTGTGCTTACCTTCCTGCACTCATTGCTCTCTGGCCCACCAGCCACCAGCGAGCTCCTGGGCTCCTGTCCTCCTTCACCCACATCAGGCAGGCACGTCTGAACTTCCTTTTCCATATCCCGCAACCCTCCGCCGCACTCTTCCTACCGCCGCCCTGCTTCAGACTCCCACCCTGTCCCCTAGAATCCCACAGGCACTTCCCACCCTCGCCCTGGCTCTGGTCTCCAACGTCTCTCAAAATCCTGCCATCCACGCTGCAGCCAGCGTGGTCCCGCCACAGGGCAAATCTGCCTCGTCTCTCCTTCCTCCACAGCTCTCCGGGGGCACCGCATTGCCTACCCTGAAAAGCCGATGCTTCACTGTGGCTTGTCAGGCTATGCATTGCACGAGGCGGTACATTGGGTTCAGATGCTCTGCAGGTGCGTGAGTCATTCACCAATCCCGTTCATTAAGACAGCTGCCGTCTCACACAGGCTGAGCCATCCCGTTAGGTTTGCCGGGAGGAGAAACCACTCAATAACAGGTACCAATCACCTCGACCACCCGGGGTGGTTCTTCCATTCCTTAATCAGAAACAAGTTCGCCAAACACAGAGTGACTCCACCGAGCGTTTGTTCCAAGAAAATTTGCCTTGTACTGTGATAAATAACTTGTTCCTTTTTACCCCCAAAATATCAGCCATCAATCCTCAAAGCGTAATCCTGGGTCTTCACTGGAACCACGTGAGGGCTTGCAGAGATGTAGATTTGCTGGGTTGCCTTCAGCCTTTTTGACCCAGCATCACTAGGCACCAGGCCCAGGAATCTCCGTATTTAATGAGTCCTACGTTTTAGCACACACTAAAGTTTGGTATCATGGATGTGTCTCCCTAAAGTATAATGTGGGCTTACCCATTTGTATTTCTGCCTACGTGGTTTGAAGTGGAAAGTGTTCAGGAGCTTTGAACTGCACTGGCCGGCCGCAGATCAGAGCGCCACCGTGCTCAGGCGCAGCCCACAGGCCCTGGACTCCTTTCTCCTTTACTGCAACACGTGGGGTCCCTTGGAGGAGAGAGCTGAGGCAGGACCCAGCCGACTACCTGCGTGTGCCATTTCAAGAGAGCCGAGCTACGTTTTGTGAAAGGGCATCATGAATTGTGTCAGAGGCATATAGAATGATCTATTGTCGCATTTTAACATTAACAATCTCAGGACACACCTGGGGCTCATTGAAGGCACTGTAATGAGAAGCCTTCGCATTCACAGACCGTAAGACCACCAATTAGATTCCGAAAAGTAGACAAAGGCACAGTGTCAGACGTGTATAGGCTGTTCTGCCAGGATCTGCCTTTTCATACTTTTCAGCTCGTCAATGTAGCTTTGCCCAGCTCCACTCTATTTGCTGTAGAAATTCTTGCTTTGGGGATCAAACACCTACTGTTTTGTTTTGTTTTGTTTGTTTGTTTTTAGAGACAGGGTCTTGGTCTGTCGCACAGGCTGGAGTCCAGTGGCATGATCTCGGCTCACTGCGGCCTCAACCGCTCAGGCTTAAGCAATCCTCCCACCTGAGCCTCCCAAGTAGCTGGGACTACAGGCATGAGCCACAGTGCCCAGCTAATTTATTTTTTACATCTTTTATAGAGACAGGGTCTCCCTATGTTGTCAAGGCTGGTCTCAAACTCCCGGCTGCAAGTGATCTTCTGGCCTCAGCCTCCCAAAGTGCTGGGATTACAGGCATGAGCCACCTTGCCCAGTCAAGTGTTTCTAATAATCTCCCCCAAACTGAAATATTAGACTCTCTCTTTTCTGTGGAAAGGGTTAGGGAATAGAGTAGGAAGGTGTGTTGAGTGTGGAGGATGCAAACAGGAACACTGGCCCCAGGGTCAAGGGAGTAAGAGAAAGACACGTGTTTGTGCCAGCGCAAGGCTGAACATGCTTACAGCGTGATTTCGCGTGCAGCACTCCACGTGGGTGTCACCACAACCGTGTTGTGATGTAGGACGGACAGCATCTAACATAAGGGACGTGTCTTTATGTCCTGGGGGAAGACAGCTGGTTTCGAGGCGAGGGCTTGGCCTGGGGTCTCACAGCGGTGGGGCCGAGGTTCTGCGGCCTGAGTTTCACCAGGGTGATCAGCCATGACAGAGGGGGCGATTCGCTGGCCGCAGGTTTGCGGACACTCGGGATATATCGGCTGCCGTTCCGGGGAGCCTTAGACATCTGTTTTCCTGAATCTTTGTTTTTTTCTGTGTCTCCCAGACATTCTCCATACTCCTCTGCTGGAAACAGAGCAGAAAGGGCCTCGAAGCACAAGCACACGCCCCGGGTTCCTGAGACTGCAGCAAGAAGCAGGAGCTGTTTTCTTCCATTAAGCCCTGCCCTGAGCAGAAAGAAATCATCTCTAAGCTCCTGTCTTGGGTGACATGTTCCCTGACACAGGGTTGCTTTTCCTCACCTGTCTAAACTAAGTAAAGAGGATCCAGTATGCACTCAACGCTGATCTTTTCAACAGATACTCAAAGGATAAAGCAAGGATAATTTATTCTCCTTCTGTTTAATCCCATAGAGTGGACTGTGAACTTCCAAACACAGAGACAGTCTTCTGAGGAGAGAGCCCCCTTATCAGTTTGGCCCTGTCCAAAATAACGATAACTCCACGTCGCCTTTGCCTGCAGGATGTATTTGTCCCGTCAATAACTAATTGTCAGGATTGCATTTGCCTCTGGAGAAGGGAAATCTGAAAAACATTTACATAAACATAAAAACATTTAGAGCCCAGGCTTCTAAATGCACGTGGGTTACAACCAACTTCCCACTTTAATTATGCTCCCAGTATAACCCTAAGAGCAGAGGGGAAGGCAGCCGTCCTTCCCTTCACTTGGCTCAGCTTGGGTGAGAAGTTCTTAAGCAAAAACACAGACATTCCCAGTTTATTTCTTGAAGAAGCTATTTCTTTTGTAAGGCATAACATCCAGGTGGGTTTTGCATACTTCATGAACAGAACATTTAAGTTGCTCTTAAATTGAATTTTAAGCACAATTTTTAGATATAACCACAGATTATTTGTTTGTTTGTTCAAGCTAAAATTAAAGCTGGCCGTCTACATAAACCGTCCATAGAGCAACAAGGATTTGCGTTCTGCCACCTGCCCAAGAGGTCCACCGGAGACCAAATACCGAGGCAAACCAGCAATTTGGTGTGGCTGTGCGCGCACTCGTTTCCCTGACTGAGTACTCTGAGGTCATTAAGGGGTGCTGGGTTCTTTAGGAAGACGTTCTCATTACGTGAATGGTGTCGAACTGCAGTTTAATAGCAGCCTAGGCATAGGCGTCCACGACACACACACACACAAACATACGAACACACTCACACACAAAAACATACAAACACACACACTCACACTCACAGAGTCACACACGAAAACACACACACACACAAAAACACAAACACTCACACACAAAAACACACACGCTCACACAAAAACATACACACACACAAAAACACAAACACAAACACACTCACAAACACACACAAAAACACACACACACAAAACATACACACACAAAAACACACACACACAAAAACATACAAACACACACACAAACACACAAACACACTCACAAACACACAAAAACACAAACACACACATACACACAAACACACTCACCAACACACACACACACAAAAACATACAAACACACAAACACACACACAAAAACACACACACAAAAATACACACACAAACACACACACAAACACACACACAAACACACTCACACAAAAACATACACACAAACACACACAAAAACACACACACACAAATACACACAAAAACACAAACACACACAAACACACACAAACACACATAGAAACACACACAACACACGAACACACACAAACACAAAATGATTTACTTATACAAGTTCTATTTAAAGTATGCCTACATGCAGTATATATGTTGCAAAACTATTCCCCCCTACAGGCCAAGGAGGTTGTTTTTCTCATCTTTAAATTCCTAGAAGTGAGTATTCAGTTAAAAATTATCAGCATATTTGGCTCCAGTTATATTATCCTTGATTTCTGAATTTATTCATTCCGACATATCTACTGGGCACCTATTGTGTTCCAGACAATCTACAAAGCATATGGATACCAAGACAGTCTTCTCAAGGAATATTTCACTGCCAAACTGAGTATTTTGATCTTACAAATGAATCCATAAGGGATTATGGATATTAAAGAAGGGTTAAAGATCAGTAGAAAAGTCCAAGTATTTTTTACTTTGAACATAACCCCCTACATTTATACTGTTTGTGCAGAAAATAATAATAATAATAATAATGGCCTCTAAATCCTTCCTTTCTTGTCCATTTGTTTTTTAACTCTTCACTGGAGTGTGAAACCCTCGAGGGCAGAAACTCAGGCCCAGCGGCTTCTACATCTCCAGCTCCTGGCCCCTGGCAGGCACTCGCTGCCGACAACCTGACCGACTTACTCAATAAACCAGTATCGACATTTTCATGAGATACCAGGACACAAGCTTCTAAAAATGTTCAGCATTCAAAATACCAGAATATGAGGTAGGATGCTCCAAAGAAATAAATCAGCCTTCCCTCTCCCCAGCCTCACCCCTGAGAGAAATGTGCCATGGGAAAGAGGAGCTTCCAACGCTGGGAAAACCGCGCATCCTGGCACTGAAACACAGGAATTCCAGGAATCCCTTCATTGCATGAACAGTCTGAATTTTTGAAATAAGTAACGTGAATGATGACAACACAAGCCATACATACTGGCACTCACATGCCAGCCCCAGGCGAGGGCTGCATGGCAGAGCTGCAGGCCAGTTGGAAATGTGAATGACTGCACTTCCCATGTGTTTTTTAGGCTGCTAATTTTTACAGCCAAGAGATTTGCTATTAGAAGTTCACTTCAGTGTGGCTGAAAGGAATGGAAATGAATTGACAGATGTTACAGGTTTTCTTTACCTTTAATCTATATGCATAACTACGCCCTGGACTGAGACCCCTTTCAGATACATTGATCCAAGGTAAACAGTAATATACTGCAGGTCCTCAAATAACATCGTGTCATTCAATGTCGTTTCATTATAATATTGATAAGAAAAAATTGATTCCAGCTGGGGCCACTGTCAGTGTGGTGTGTGCGGTTCTCCCCATGTCTGTGTGGGTTTTCTCCGAGTACTCCCGTTTCCTCCCACATCCCAAAGCTGTGCACATTAGGTTCACTGGCCCGCATCTGAGTGAGTGTGGGTGTGTATGAGTGTGTGTGCCCTGCAATGGGATGGCATCCTGGCCAGGGCTCGTTCCCCCCTTGCACCTTGACCCTGAGCTGGAATAAGTGTGTTAGAAAATGAATGAATGAATGACACAAATTTCACAAATTCTTGTAAAATAAAAATGCATCAAGTCTACCATAACCACACAGATGCACAACAAGAAATATGCGGTCTGAAAAAGCTCAACAAGTCCCTCGTATTCATGATGGCTTGTTTTTGCACTGCAAGGAGGTGCTCCTTACAATTTTTACTTTGCAAATATTTCTTCCTTAGTTTAACCAACTACCACTATGACCACCCTCACTCACTGTTGCAGCAAAACTCGGGTATATTGTCTTGTTGTTATTAATTTTTCTTAAATGTATAGCTCACATTTATTTCAACGTTTAATATTTGCGGTGTTTTGGGTCTTTATTTAGAAGTTTGGTGATGTTTTTGTGACCAGAAATATGTCCCAGGAATTTAACTCTTGTTTATATCAATTGGCCTGTGGTAAGGCTGGATTTATTGTATGTTACTTTGCGTAACGTCGCGGTTTCCAAGAATCTATTGGTGACCTCCAGTGAGGACTTACTGTACGTGAAGCTATTCATTTGTAAACCTTCAGTGACGATGGAGAAACAGTCCCGAAGGAAGGACAGCTGGAGGCCTGCACCACCCGGAACCATCCTTCGTGTCGGTATCTGAGTCCATCGTACCCAATGGAACAATAATTAATGGCAGCTGGCTCATGCCTAACCAGTTGTCTTCTCATTCTGAAGACAGGGAGGATTAAATTGTTTAGCCCTTCTTTTGTAGGTAGGACTGAGAGACTCCATATAGCCAACGAGTTGTGATGAATAGTGACTGAAATGCTTCGTCGATAATGGAAGATGCTCCATTGCTCAGTTTCCTTTTCATGGGACCTCAACATTTGACTTGGCAGCTGTGTTATCATCCGGGGCCCCTGAGAAACGACCGTGAGCATCACACATATGTGAGACAAGTACACGGTGTGGATGAGAAATACAGAGATTTTGTAAAGCTGCTGAGATTGAGGGCTCTTTGGTGGTTGTTATGCAGCGTCATCCAGCTGACCCTGCCTGATATGCTAGGTTGCTCGCAGAGCGAAAGAAGGGGTTAGGGCCAAAAGAAGGCTAAGTCCCAGTGCCACCAAGCCGCTCCCTCCTCTGCTTCCTGGGAGACAGGCTCCATCATCAGCACGGTGCAGTGTGCAAATCAGAAACTTGACACTTAGATTCAGTGCTGTTGCCAGAATAAGGTATGTATGGTTCCTGTGGGCTCTTCTGTGGTCTCCTGAACACAGTGAATGCTGAGGAAAGGGTAGCAGTTATTACATTAATTTTTAGTTACAAGATGTTTGGCGCATAATATGAGTCTAGACAGGAAGGGACGACAGCCCTAGACCTGCATTCAACATCAGCAAATATTGATTTGAAAGTCTACCAATCACTATCTAGGAGTCCTTTCCTAAGCAAAGCTGAACAGGCTAGAAGAGGAGTCCGAAGCATAAAGTACAGCCTAGGGGAGGTGGCCTCTAGTCGAGAGAAGTCCAGGTCGTTATGTGAGTCCTTGGGTATCTGTGAAGGCTCCCTGGAGGAGGTGATGTGGCAGCTGAGATCTGTGAGATGAGTCAGGACAGTCTGGTATGAAGAGGGGAAGACGAGCTCACACAGGAGGAACGGTATGTGCAGAGGCCGCGGGGAGGGAGGGGTGGTGCATGCAGAGAACTGCAGTGGCCATCTGGAGGCTACAGTGACTCCATCTAGAGGCTGATTCGTCATGCTGGCTTCTGATTAACCTCTGTTCCAGGCACACCTCTAAGATTTCCAGTCTGTCTATTGTTCCTTGAATAAGAGCAAGTACTTACTGTAAATCCTGCCCTTAGGTCAGCCAACCTTGATGTTATCGTACTTCAATTGTCCTGCAGCTCCCTTGTGAACCAATCCTCCCTGTGATCTCCAAGCCCTGGGTCTGGGGGTCTTGGAGCAAGGACCCACCATCTTGTCTTACCTGAGACGCTGACGGGCTCCTGTTCCTAAGTCCCTATTCATGTTTCTTTCTGAGAAACTGGATACATCAGCTCCTTTCTTCAGCCTCTTGGCTTCCTCGGACTTTGGGAGTAGGTTTGCATAGACCTGCCCACTGCGGAACAGGCCAGAAAAGAGAATGTGAGGGGCAGGTGATGAGAAACGGGGCTGCAGCCGTAAAAGGAAATCAAGCCACACCCAACGCACGCCTAGATGTCTTCCTATCGCAGCAAGTGAAACTTCTCAAGCTCCATTTCTTCTCTTTGTCCACAAGGAGTAATTTGAAATGAAGTCCTGCTGGGCGCAGAAGACAAAAAGATGTTAGGTCTCCCAACATCTGTGTCTAATCATTCAGTAACTTGCCTCAAAGCTTACACGGAGCAGGGGCTGGTACGGCGGCATCGCGCTGTTCTCCTGTTCCAGAGAGATGTTCTTATCTCCCCTCCTCCCATCTGCCATCGGCTTTATGGAACCCAAGTTCTCAGGCTGCAAAGCTTCCAAAAGATGTCTGAGAGGAAACTCTCAACTTGGCAGTCGACGCCTCTGAATTGCTGAGCAGTGAATGGAATTTCTGCCTCTCACCCCACCCACTCTGGAGAACTCTGGAACCCAGGAATCACATGATACTGCTTGCACGGGTAATGTGAGCAGGAGAGAAACCCATCCCTTCCTCACCCCACCCCGTGCACGAGGACATCCAAGGATATACAAGGTTCCCCTCTATGACTTTAGATTGGCTCTCCATGCCCAGGAGGAGAATTCGGCTCGTCTTCTCCTGCCAGCTCCAAATTATTTCTGGCTGGCTCATCCCTCCCCCTGAAAGACCCAGAGGATTCAGAGACATGGCAAGGCCTTCTCATGGACATTGAACTCACTGACTCGGCACGCACCGTAGCAAAGGTTTGCACAGAAACTTTACACCCAGAGCCAATAAAGTCCGTGCCATCGAAAGCAAGTCAAAACACAATGGCATCCAGCAGAGCAGCCAGCAGATTGTCAGCCTGTCCTCTTAAGCAAACGTTCTGCAGGAGAGCCAGCGGAGAAGCTTGAGAAGGAGCCAGGAAGGGAGTGAGCTCCACATGCCCCACGCTGCTGCTGCCACCGCTGCCACGGCTGCTGCTGGAAAAACACATTCCAGCATCTGGCATCGGAGCCTGGCAGCTGAGGCGCGCCCCGCCTGTGTGGCCAGGAGTGCCCTCTGAAATGCACAGCCAAGAGAGGAGACGACAGGGCAGGTACAACCAGGGGTGCCAATCCCACGGGGCCGTGCCAACTCTGCCTTGCCATCCGATGCCAGCCAATTTCCTTGTGCCACAATGGCCGGGTTTAAGAAATGTTAACCTTGTGTTTTGAAAGTGATAAACGCTCCAGGATAAAGAGAAGTCTTTTCCAGCCACGCCCCAATCTACTCATGAGGAGCAGGGGCTGGGGAACAAATCTCCAATATGACAAATAACCTCAGAGCAGGGATGCAGAGAGGCTGGCAGCAGGCGGGACCTCCTCCAGCAAACACGTGGAAAGAGCCTAAAATCAGCACGTGGCTTCCAACCAACACTCCAGCACGCTCTCCAACCCAGGCCACGGTGGGGAGATTTGCTTCCCTGCTGTTTTCTTACCAGCAGAGCATTCTGACCTTCACAAGACCCTGCTTCCTTAAGAGAAAGCCAGGCCAGTGCTTCTGCTGCTGTGGCCTGTCACCTAATCTCTCTTTGGAGCTGGGCAGTCCTCTTGCCCATGAACAACCACACACCGCACCCCCAGAGGAGCCGAGGGAGGGAGCTCTGGGCAGAGGCAGCAGATGAACTCTGGGCGACGATTTCCAGGGAATGCCTCCCCAAGCACTGTTTGTTAACTGGAGGAAAGGGAACCACTGTGGCAAGAGCAGCATGAAAGATTTTTCAGTTGTGATAGATGTTTCATAGCCACTTAATTAAGCTCAGGTTAAGCCAAAACATGACCAAAGAATTGTCATCATGCATGAGCAAATGTAGAAATGCCATGTCCCTTAAGATTCTTTTTTTTTTTTTTTGAGACGGAGTCTCACTCTGTTGCCCAGGCTGGAGTGCAGTGGCGCGATCTCGGCTCCCTGCAAGCTCTGCCTCCCGGGTTCACGCCATTCTCCTGCCTCAGCCTCCCGAGTAGCTGGGACTACAGGCGTCCATCACCACGCCCGGCTAATTTTTTGTATTTTTAGTAGAGACAGCGTTTCACTGTGTTAGCCAGGATGGTCTCGATCTCCTGACCTCGTGATCCGTCCACCTTGGCCTCCCAAAGTGCTGGGATTACAGGCGTGAGCCACCATGCCCGGCCAAGATTCTTTATAGAAAAAATAAAACCAGGTGATCACTGCAAACGAAGGCATCTTCAGAAAATATGAAAGGCACTAACTTTATGTGACCCTGTGCAAACTGCTCTAAACCTGAAGGAGCAGCCAGCCTCCTGTCTCAAAGTTCTGCTGCATTAAACAGATGGCAGAGTGGTCCCAGACATCCCAGCAACTAGGCAGGTACACACGTTTCAGAAATGAGAGGTGGACCAATAACAGGTCCACAGGGAATGGTTTGGGCACAGGGCAAAGGGGACAGACAACCTCAAAGGTCCTTTGGGTGGACACAGAGGCCGGTTGGAGCACTTGCCACAGCTTCAGGATGCATCTTGTGTCAAGACCTTGGCATGCTGAAGTCAGCTAAAACAGAGCCAGTCACGAGTTATGATTATCCTCGTTCAGCTAGGATGGAGAATCCCATACAGACACCGCGGTCACTTTCCTTTCTGGACGTCCTATATTTAATTGATGAAGTCACTCGAGCTTCCTCTGTTTGAGCTAAGGTCCCTGAGTTTGGCAGGAGAGGGATGATGGGAGTTCCTGGGGAAGGAGGCTGATCTCAACTCCATTAAACATTCTGAGAGGGTGTAAAATTTGTCCAGCCTGTTTGCTTTTTTTTTTTTTTTTTTTTTTTCCCAAACTCCAGGCTAGTGGGTGGGATACAGTTCAGAGCAGAAAAACAGAAGCAGGCCTTGGAGGAAGGTCCAGCATTGGTAGGAACAATGGCAGTGGATGGGACCATCCAAGAGAAAGCACTGAACCCTACCTGAGCCTTGGGTGCTTCTTGGGTGAGCTCCCTGCATTCCCAACAGACCCCTGGCCAAAGGCGCTTTGAGACTGGGTACCAGAGCAGCTTCCGCAGCAACCACCACGCTCAGTCACCGGGCATGTCGCAGGCCTGTCCTTGAAGCTCCCTCCTACAAGCAGATTGAAATGCTGCTTTCCCGGGGCTCTGTTCTGCACTGTCAGTCTGCACTGCAGAGGATGCTTCAGCCGGAGGATCAATTCTGTACTCTCCGCAAAGAGCTCTGGAGCTGGGGGTGGGCCTGGAGATGCCAGCACTTTTCTGAGTCTGAATCTCACTTTGTAAAAATTAGAATGACTCAGGGCAAAAGGAGAGAAAAACATGTATATTCATGCAAGATAAAGTTTTAGAATCCATGCAGGGAAGTTATGATCCACAAAGCAACCATAATTTAACCACATTACATGCCAGAATTAAGCTGTAAATTTAATAGCATGTATTTACAAAGTAATGAAAGTCTACATACCATGTTTTCAAAAATAATCCCACAAATCTGAAAGTAGGTTGATTTGACTGCTGGACATTTCTCTGAATATTTTGCTACTTGTGAAACCAAATTCTCCTCTTCACTGGAGCATTGATGTGGAGGCATTTTATGGATGCATGACAGAAAATATGTGGAACAGGTGAGGAAGTGTGGGAGGGACCTGATGACATTGTCTTGGAAGAGGTCACATTTTCTGTGAGCTGAATGGGCTGATGAATCACGCCTGCTGAATCCTGTCACAGTGGAGAGCACTACTAATATTACACGGTGGAAGGAGGCCTGCAACTCCACACCAGACTAAAATGCACTCAAGGCATGATACTCAGGGTTCACTTTAGAAGACCTGATTCTAGTCTGCTGAGCTCAAATAAATTTCATTTATTCAGTGCCTCTGTGCACTCAGCACTAGTCATTAGTGGCTGAGCAATGCCAACTTCACTTTTTTGTAGCAGGGGAAGGAACAAAATCTGTCTTCTTAATGTCTTCCTATAGATATTATTTACTGGTCCTTTTGTGGAATCAAATGTTTTGTTGCCTTAAAGAATAGAAGGGTGAACCTTTTGAAGCTCCTTTTATATTTTTTGTAAGGTATTAGTAGATGCTTATAGTACAGGGCTATAGATGTGGGAAAACAGATTTGACAAAAGTTCTGGAAGCTTGTAATGCCATTTCATTAGGCTCTTGGTACAGCCTGAATCAGCACAAAGACACGAGGTCATTGCAAGGAGGATGGACAGAAGCTCCAGCAGCCTCTTCCGGCAATCATCTCTGCAAAGGCTAGGCCTGACCAGGGGAGGGTTCTAGATGCTCCCTGGGGAATCCAGATGAGCCAAAGAACTAGGACTTAATTTGAATCACAGCTGATTTTTGCAAGTCTCTCAGAATCCTTATAATCGGGATGGTGGCACTTGTAAACCTCCTGTATGGTGGATGCCCCCCCAGACAGCAGAGGGTCCCAGACGTTCCAGCAACTAGGCTGGGACACACATTTCTTTCCTTCCTGAGATTTGCAAAAGGTCAAGAACCAACAGCCTGGATCTTCTCAACCAAAAGAGAGTCCTACTAGAAAGAACCACTAGGCTGTAAGCCTCCCACGGGCAAGGATTCACATCTACTACTTACCAACAAGGGCATGTTGAAGGTGCAGAAGAACGAAGGAAGGTGCAAGTGGGTTGGAGGGGAGATGTTTTGCAGAGAAAACAATCAGTTTGTCTAAAATAAAGGATGAAACGCTAGAAATGCAGAGGCCAGGATGGAAGGTGGGATGGGTGAAGGACACCATCAGCGGGCAGGGACGACGAGAGCACGTCCTTGGATTCCTCCCTGCAAACAAAGGCTGCCAGCAGCTGCCGCCTGTGGGTTCCTGCTAAGCCCTCATCCAAGTATTTCTGCCTCAGTTGCAGTTAAAGAAATAAAGTGCTGGAGGAAGAGATGGGATTTAGCAAAAATGACTAGTGCTGAGTGCACAGAGGCACTGAATAAATGAAATTTGATTAAAAGGGTGAATCTGAGCCAGGGAAAAAAAAACCGAGCCAAGCGTTGACAGCGGAAAAGCATCCTCAGAGGCTCAAGTGCTCAGGCCTCTCTGGCTCTTCCCTTGGAGCCCTGTGGTCATCTGGCTGTGCGTGTGCCTCTCTCCTGCTTCCCAGTCCCTTATCCTGGCAGATTTTTAAAAAAGTCAACA